AATAGGATTCAAATTCAAATCGAGTCCTATCAAATCTGATCGGATCTTTGGATCGGATTCAAATATACCCTTATTTGAATCCGATTCAATCTGTTTGCATCCCTACGCCCTCGTATGCACATCTCAGCGTCCATTAGGAAAATCCTATTGATGTGAATTCTTTTCCAACGGTTGGTGAACATGGGCCTAAGAGCTATAAATCGGGTAGTGTTGAGCCGGCACAACACGGCCCGCGTGTAGCCCACACAAAGTATGGGTCATCCCAGTTTGTGCCTCCCTCCCTTTGGATATTTTGGGGGTCAGCCCAGCATGGCCCATGGCCTGAGCCTGTGCAGGCCTGGGTCGAGTGGGCTGTAGGTCATGCTGTGGGCTTGGGCCGAACCGGGCCAAAAAGGCCTAGACTTTTTTTTTTTGCTAACTTAACTTTGGGCTTTGCAGCCTTGCCTAATTGCCCGCCTTGAAAACAAATTTAAAAAATAAAAAATCTAACAAAGAAATGAAAAAAAATACTTACCAAAATACAAAATGGACATCAAATTAGAGAAAAAAGGAATTTTATTTCATTTAAAATATAAAAAAAATTACAAATTGAAAATAAAAAGTTACATTGTTGAAAAAATAACAAATAATTTAAATAAATTTGAAAAAATTACTCCATTTCCTTGATGTTAATTATCTTCTTTGTCTTTTAATTTATCCTCAACATCCTGCAAATCTTTAAAAGTAAATGTCTTTTTCTTGTTTCTCATGGAAGAGCAAATGTATGGCCAAGTGACCAATACCACCCTTGCTACCAAAGCTAAGTCAATCCTACATTTTTGGCAAATGGCTCTTTTTCCCTTCCCCTCAACTTCCTCTATTTTAAATATTTTCCAAATCAGGCTACTGAACTTACCGTTGGGGAATTGGTTTTGGGGAGGACCCAACCATTTTTTAATTATAAAAAAATAATAATTTAATTGCATTTACCCAATGAGAGACTAAAAGAGTACGAGAAATGAGAAAAGAATTGTTGAATTGGTGTGATGAGAATGGTGGACTGGTGTGGAGCCATGGAGGATAGGGTTATTTATAGGGATTGAAAATAATTCAATTACCTAAAATACCCTAAAAACTAGTCACTTTTTAGTTGTTGGGAGGGGTATTTTGGTCATTATAAATCCAAAATACATAAATACCCCCTATATAGCTATTTCTAGGCTTATTAACTTATAGTTATTGATTGAGGGTGTATTTCCGTAAAAAAACCCCTAAAAAAAGTTAAAACTAGCCGTTTGGGGTCACCCGTTGCGACTAGTTTTTCTTTTCGAATGAGCTACACTAGGCCCGTTGTGGGCCTATGGGCTGTGTTTTGCTGCATGCTAAGCCGGGCCACAAACAGGCACAATCGTGTCGTGGCCCGATTTACACCTCTCACTAGATCCGAATATGTTCGGATTTGTTCCAAAGGTTGTATTTGGTTGTAGCACAAATGATTTGGATGCAAATTCTGATTTGTATTTGTTTCAAAATTTGCCTTCTTTTATTTGATTGCAATACAAATGAAGTAAAATAAGACCTGAAATAGAATGAATTAAAACCCGAAACAAAATTAGACAAGAATTTGCATTCTTTCCATTTGCACTCCTATACATTTGGATTACTGCAAATAAGATTGCATTGCAACCAAATTTATATGGGAGTGCACTCATGAGGAAGAGGAGTACAAATACAAATATGTAAAGCGCAAAACCTTATATTTTGTATTATTTTGTATGTATTTGTGTTGTGCATATTTATATTTGTACTCCTTACAAGGCTCAATTTGGAAGGAGTGCAAATACAAATATGTAGAGCGCAAAACCTTCTATTTTGTATGTATTTGTACTGTACATATTTGCATTTGTACTCCTTCCAAACTAAGCTTAAGAGAATTGGTCCTTACCCACCTAATAGTCCTTGCAATCATACATCTTCAATATCACCTATATTATATCATGGTTTTAGAAATATTGTAAAACCAGAAAGGTTGGACCATTTGGCTCTAAAATCATTTAAGCAATTGATTCCATTTTACCCTAAATCATTTATTTGCAAAAAAAAAATGATTTGGTTAGTAAGGAGTACAAATACAAATAAAAATATTTGTATTTGTAGTCCTTCCAAACTGAGCCTAACCCACTATGGGCTATCAAACCATTAACTCATTCAACTCGAACAATGGCTTTTAATCAATTTTTTGTTTTAATTATTTTTCATTTTTATTTTTTTTTAAATTACAATAGGTCATCCATTTGAACCAGACAATTGAACCGTTGACCAAAAAATCAGTGACCAAAACAATTCTGGTTTGGTTTCCAAAATATTGATTTTAATTTATATGAATATGAAATCTGGATTCTTTTGATATTGGTTTTGGATTTGATAGAGGACCACCCATATATATCAACATGATGAGTTTGGATTCTTTTTAAGGTTTTGAGATTTTATCAGTGTTTAGAAAATCGGATCAGACCGGCTGATTGAATCGTGACTCAGGCACCTGACTAGTTCAGTCATACCCCAATAATTGGATTTGCTTAAAACCCACTAAAAACCGGTTGATTGGTCGGTTGAACCGGAAAATCGATGAACCAGTTCCGATTTCATGAAACCGCCCAGGCCCATACATAAGTGAAATTTTAAATGTTGTTAACAAGATTTGAATTCAAGACTTCTTATTTTCACAAATTACTTAATTACCACTAATCCACCTCTTTACTTATGTTAATTAATGACTAGTTATTATATATATTACATTATTATGCATTATAATTAAGTACATTAAAAATTGTAAAATATATTATATATAGTATTATATGACTCATAGTATATATGCCACACCATCATGGTTCGACCTCCGGTTTGACCTTGGTCGAACCTTTGACCCGTAAACCTCTCCCTTTTTCGATTCTATTCCCGATCCGGTTCTCTGAACAATGGATTTTATAACTCAAACCGGCAAGTGAGGATAAAGGGTGACCCGAAGATCCGAGCAGGGGTGATCAGAACCCGACCAAATAGACTAGGATCGGATACCGACCGGATCCATTTGCACCCCGCCGCGGGAAAAACCCAAAATCACAATTCACAATCACAAGGTTCATCGGGATTAATGTCTATTTGAGCGTAAGCGTAATTTACAATTTAGTACACTAAACAAGGGCCTTCCGCCTTCCTATTATTCACGGAACGAGGAATGACGAAAGGACAAGCCCACCAGTGGGGAGCATTGGAGCAATTTGCGCAAGCCGACAGATAGGCCAGTTTCACTTCTGGGCCCCCGGGATAAAGCATCCTTTGTTGTAGAGTCTGACCTAACAACCAGCCAACCAAGTACTGTACGGTCTGCTGTCGATAACTTCACAGTGAAACAAGGAAGATTTTGAGATTGTGATCTCATGACTCACGAGTCACGCCTCACAGTGAGGAGGAGAAGGAGCGTTCCACGTGACATGTGAGTGTCCAAGAAATTCGTATCCACAGTTCTACTACCACGACACGACCCAACCTTGACTGAGGGCTCGGGCCTCACCTCACCTATACCCACCAGTCACGCCGATTTAGAGTTTAAACTAATAAACTAACTAATTAGCTAACCAATTGTTTGATTGTTCAATTGTCAAATGAGAATCACGGGTTGTATAGCGGAATTGCGTGATACAAAAATTACAGAGAAGAAATGATGATTGATGGTGGTGAAGGAATCCATCAATCATCATACCGAGATGTTAGCACTTAGCAGAGGTCAGCCCTTCAATAATCAAAGTTGGCCCATTCTCAAGGGCAAGGGGTTGCTTGGGCAACACGCGCGACAGTCAAAGTCAAATACTTGATCTGATTTTTTATTAAAATTTATCACAGCCTCGCAGGTGAGTTGGTCCTCTGGAGGTAACGAGATCTGTTCCTCACAAATGGGCGCCTCACATGCACATTCACCATCCGTTGGAAACATTTCCATTAATAAGTACGGGAGATGTTACTAATGCATGACAGAATGTGCCTGTGAGGCGCTAGGAGTGAGGAGCAGATCCGGTCTCCCTCTAGAGTCTAAGCTACTTCAACCTTTTTAATCTAGTGTTTCAAGGTTGGTAAGGGTGTGTCCCCGACTAATGTCGCTTCCTTAATGAGCAGCCATGATTGGACTACATGTCATGCGTCATTATTATATATTACACCACGATGCATCTCTCTCTCCATTTTCCCTTTTTTGGTGCAGACGATTGTCTAGAGGAAGTAAGTGTTGCATGCAGACATTAATATTTATACCGGTACAGACGATGGACTAGGGGATCACCCTCCACCGCACATCTGCTATGGTGATAATCAAACGGAGGTGCTAGACATTTTCTGAGCGGACCCCATTCACCCAACAATATAATTCATCAACAAAATCCAAGGACAAGAGGACAATTCTCAGGAAAAAGATAAAAGCAAAAGAGGAGAGTTTCGGGACATGGCCGAATAAAGAGGGACACCAAGAGACATTTGTTTATCGTCACGGAGTGATTTTTGGTGAAGTGAATCAATCCCCCAAATCTAGAGAGAGAGAAAAAAGAGGGGAAAATATAAGGAGAATGACTGTTCAGCAAAGATGCTAAGGATAATAGGATACAATAATCAGTCTATTGTATGCCTTGCAAATGAACCGCGTACCACGTATCTTGAATAATCTGAGCTGGGCCCACTTGAGATGATACGAATGTATTCTAGTTTTGTGGTCATAGTTATACGGTAAGCTTTTTTTTTTATTAGTTCAAGCGTTGCCTGCGTTAGTGGTGAGGTTGGTTACAGTCATGACCGGTGACTGGTGAAGTGGTGAGGCTCAAAATAAATTCAAAAAGAAAAAAAATCCATGGAGATGGAGGGGTGAAAATGGTGAAGGGAGGTGAGGTTAAATAAGGTTTTAAGGGTAGATCTTGTTCCTTTCTGGAGAGGTAGGGTCCACCTAAATGATGACTACATAAGTAAGTTGGGTTGTGGTATCGGAGTCCGGATCCCCCCAGCTCGCCAGCCCCCAGGGCCCAGACCCAGAGGCACATTGCAACTGTTTTGCTTCCAAGAGAAGGTTGAATCCTTTATTATTAGTGTGAGCCCGAGGGAGTGATCCGGATTGCCTTCTTCAATCTTCACCTCAAACACAACCGAAGCAGACTTATCTCTAGTCTGTAATTTCATTTTTATTTTTATCTTTTTTGTATTTGCGAAAATAGAAACCAATGAAATCTATCTCCATCACCTGAAGCTCATAAGCTCTGGCTCTGGTTCTTTAACCGTTCGGTTTCACCTTTAAGGCCGTTGTTTTTGAATGTTAAAATTGATTTTAGGTTGTTTCTCTTTTGTTTTTCTGGTCCCTCTTTCACCCCTTTTCTCTTTGCGGCTTCGAAGAATATCAACACAAATAAATTAGTAAACGGGCTTCCTTGGATTGGTTGCAGAAAGAGCAAACCTGGCTTTCATCTTCTTCTCTTCCTCTTCTTTGGCTTCCTTTTCATTTTCTGCTGGTGCTGAGGCTGTTGGTTCGTAGGAAACGAGCTGTTTTGACTCTACTTTCAACACCAGAACAACGTCATTTGCTAGTCATTTTGGATTTGCGATTCAATGTCTTCGGGGAGAATTGGGTTCTCGATTGTGCTTGCGGAGAAAAGATTCAAAATTTTCGATTTAGGGATGGGTTTTTAACATTTGATGCCATTGCTTCTTGAGCTTCACGGGCAGAGTGGTTTTGAATGCGAAATAGGTCTTTGATTCTTGTTGCGGAAGTGGGACACCAAGTTCCCATCATATCTCGATGGAAACCATGTCTTCGTCTTCTTCACTGTCTGTTGCTCAGGAGGCTTCCACTTATGATGAGTTGTCCATGCAGCAAAGCTTGCTCTTCTCAGACAGTCTCAAGGTACTCCCTATAATCTTTCCCTTTTCTTTCTAGCTTGCAAAACGAGTTCGGGTCTCTATTATTCGACGGAATCGAGGGAGAATTTACCTTGGTTCGTGGAATGAACATCTAATTGGTGAAACTCTCTTGCTATTACCTGACAACATGTTTGGAAATTAAAGCCTTACGTTAATTCCTTAATTTGTGGAAGATCTTTGTTTTATTTCTCTTCTTCATAAACGTGCTCTGGGTCATACAGATGTGATTTACAACTTAGACATCAATGAATATCTTAATTGAATCCACCTCAAAGCTGTGCAAGCATTGCAGCTACTGTAGCTTCACTGTGGCTGTGAGGATTGCTTTTTCACCCGTTGTTTCAACTCGAAATTTTGCATGGAGTTAGTAGCCATTTAGCTCTCTTGAAATCTACCTCAAACTCACAGTGAAAAGAAAACCTGAAAGCAATTGGATCTCGTTAAACTAGTAGTCTCCAAGGACCTCCGCAAATTACCTTGACCTATCTGCAGAGTCCCCTTAGATCAACAGAGATGAGTGCCTTATTGCTTCTGTTCTGCTTTATTAGAATTGGTCTCTCCAATAAAACACTATTTACTTATTATAAGTTCATTCTCTATACCCTGAATTTCATCTCATTACCATTTTTATCTATAGTCAGCACATAACAATTGTCTCATCTCCAAGACATGTGATTAATTCTTGAAATGGTTTCGAATTTGTTTTGAATTTCCATCTGCTTACTGTATTTGGATTTTTCAGGACTTGAAGAATCTAAGAACACAGTTGTATTCGGCAGCAGAGTACTTTGAACTATCATATACCAATGATGACCAAAAACAAATGTGAGTTATCTCTGGTTCCTTGCAATAAATGGCTTTATATGGTCCAACTGAAATTTATTGTCCTTATTCTTTATTATTATTATTATTTTTTGATATTTAGAGTGGTAGAAACCTTGAAAGATTATGCCATTAAAGCCCTTGTTAACACTGTGGACCATCTGGGCTCCGTGACTTACAAGGTTAATGGTCTCTTGGATGAGAAGGTTGTTGAGGTTTCAGGAACTGAACTTCGGGTTTCTTGCATCGAACAGGTACTTGTGAACCTTCCAAAATTTGATTGCATGTGATAGATTAGTTGAGTGCATGCATAAGGATTGGAAGATTCAGAGAAGCTATCCTGCTTTCCTATGTTATTCACTATGCATTTTGGTTATGGGGAAATTATTCTGACATTATTTATACTGTTATTATTCGATTGCACATAGAAAAGCCTATTGTACTCATAAATGAATGTCTGGTCTGACATTCTTCATTTTGCATGGAAACCAAAAGTGGAATGACTATTGAGAAGAATTCCCTTGTCTTTTTCTTTTTTCCTGGTATTTTAGCGACTGAGATCATGCCAAGATTATACCGATCATCAGGGCCGGGCACAACAATCATTGGTGATAATGACTCCAAAGTACCATAAGCGGTACATCTTGCCAGGTAAGATTTTGTACTGGTTTCTTCTTCTCATGTTTACACTTCAAGCTTTGTTTTACAAGGGGTTACTGAGGGGGAAAATGCTTTCTCTGCTAATTGGATTTTGTGTTTAGTTGGAGAAACAATGTGTGGCTCAGGTCACACTGTAATGAAATATCAAGGGTGCAATCTAGATGATGAAGACAACTGGCATCAATTTAAGAATGGTACTTCTCAATTTTGTCATTTTATCTTTGATGTAGTCAACATTTTCTGCATTCATGTAAGATATATCTGTAATCTGATTGTTTTATAATGTGATTATGCAAAAGCTGTTCGAGCAACCATTAGAGAAACACCGAGATCTTCTGTTAGGTAAGGATTAATGCTATATTTTTTTTTTTGGCTTTGAGGGAACTTCTATTCCTTTCTATTTAATGAATCAACATTTATCAAAAATGTTTTTGTAGTTCATGAAATAAGAGCTCTTTATTCATTTGTATGATATTGATTTTTATATGTAGAAAGGGACGCTCCCCGTCACCTTCTCCACGGCTTTCTCAGCGACCAGGAACCTTTTCCTTTACAGGTAGTTTGCTTGGTAAAGAAATGTTTTCTTAGAGACATCTTTCATTTCTGTCTCCCCTTTCATGAAATATCTTCAGATGGTGTCATACTTTGTATATATGTTATTATCTCATATAAACATTTCTTCCTGGAGAGTTGTACTGATGATTGTCTATTTGTAAATCAGAGAAACGAACACTATCACCATATCGTCCTTCATTTCCACTTCTACGTTCTGGATCAGTCTCAAGTAGGCCAACTACACCTGTCTCAAGTAGGCCAAGCACACCTGTCTCAAGACAGCGGGTAAGCATGGTAGAACAAAATTTGTTAAAGTAGTGTATGCCATCAGTAAATCCCCTCCCCTTCTCCCCAGAAGGATATGGATCTAATATGCCAAATGTCTAATATTTTCACTGCTTTATGGTTTTTTCTTTATTTTCTTTTCCCTCCCTCTCTGGTTGTTGGTACCCCTGTACATCAGAAATTGAACTTCTTTATTACTACTTCTGATGTTGGAATATCTCTAATTTGTTCCTATAGTACCCTTCGGAGCCTCGGAAATCTGCTTCAATGCGTCTTCATGCTGAAAAGGAAAGCCCAAAAGACATTGAACAATATCCTAGCAAAAGTAAACGGCTTCTTAAAGCATTGCTTAGCCGGCGCAAGTCCAAAAAAGATGATACGTTGTATACTTACCTGGATGAATACTAGCAGAGAAAGACATAGAAATCGATTCAGAGGAGCATGGAAGGGAGTAGAGAAATTACCATTAATCTGCTTTGTAGTTTTTCCTTCATTCTATTTTGCACCCCAATTTGTAGTTTGTTCTTGTTTCCAGGCAGCTGATAATGCTATCATTTATTATGGATATATTTTTTTGATACCATTAAAATGTATTTTATCATTGACACTATATGCTAAATTGTTATGTCACTTTTTGTAAATCCTACAGGCAACTTGATTCGTCCTACTCTCTCAGTACCATATGGTAATCAGCTTCAGTTTCATTTGATGCAAGCATAAGTATGATCTTTGGTATTGATTTCTTAATTCTTTTGCGCCCAGAAAATCTAATGAATGAGATAAAGTGAATATGATAAGCCATAAAGACTCTTATAAAAGAGAGAGAGAGGAATTGGAGGGCATTATTAAATGGTTCATTAAAAGAATTACAGAAAGTTAATGGAATGGTTGGTTTGATGGGGCTTTTAGAGGTTTTAGAGATACAGAGATGGTGCTGAAACTTGAAAGCATGCTTATGATAAGAGTGCACGGGGGGGATTTTTTTTTTCCATGTGGCTGGGGGGAAATTCTACTACACAATTCAGGACGAACTAATAATCCTTTTCAATATATAAAACAAACAAGTGAGATAAGAATTAATAAACTTTTTAATGCCAATGAAAACTATTTAGACTACAATTTTATGTCAATTTTCAAGAATTGAAATTGATATTGAAACATACAAGTTGTGGATAAGTTCATGTGGTTTAGACAAATAGGCACTGGAATATTAGTCTCTCACTCTCTATTTAGGTCAGTTTTCCCCTTCCTGAAGGATTCCATCTTTTTTGTTCATGTAAATAGGAACTACAATGCTGCAGCTCTCACACCTTAGCCTACTTTGCTTGTAAAGCTCACTCCACCGTTGTGTTTAACTCTTAGTCACATTGCCATGTACAGTTTTACATTAAATAATGAATAAAACTGCCTTTCTTTTCTGGAGAAATAGAACAAAATATTGATGTATTACACAAAATTGGGTGGATTCTAGCTTTAGCCTTTAGGATGGAAAAACCAATTAACAATGATCATGCATGACTGGCAGAGGTGTCTTGCATTGATTAAAAGTTAAAGCATCATCAACCATGGCCAATAGGCAATAGGGACATTGGACAACACAAACTTTTTTGGTATTAATCACTGTCTGACACCTCATAGGGGTCGTTAATCTTTTAACTAAACAGTACAATATCACACCAACAGCTCTTTTCTTACAGAGATGATAATAGCGGGATTCAAGACCGTACAACCGCTGAGCCAATCACTTGGCTGCCCGCCTGAAGAAGAAACTAGCCCCTGGCCCCCTGTTGATTTGTGAGAATGTGATTCAACAGTTAATTCAGTTTCCAGTCAGGCCCTTCCTTTTTCTTTTCTTCTTTTGAAAAAGGAATTCTTCAGACTGAAATGTGTACTAAATTAGCACTAATGGTTTGGTTCCCGCTTCCCACATAAGACATTGCTTCTTAGACTAGGAAATAAAATGGCAAGAATCCCATCTAACATGCTGATACAGCCATTCCTGTAAATGATGGCAAACCAACAAATACAGTTACAATTCAATCTCTGAGATCAAGAATATGGAGTTTCAATTAAAGTTATAGCTCTAAGAAACTAATCAATTCATATTACAATTCCATCCTTGGTTCAAACCAAGGAATTAATGACGTCCACAAATGCACTAAATGAATGTTGCACGGAGAAATCTGGCCTCTACTGCTTCAAAATGCCTAATCCGGAGGAAGAAGAGGATTTCTAAGTTGAACAATATCTTGAAACCTCAAAAGTTCTGTCAGAATTTAATAACAGATGGCGCAATCCTCAGACAATGGGGACTTTCAGAATGCAATGCATCTGTCAAATGCCTTCACTACCTTCAGACATTGTAATAATACAATGATCGAAGTATAACGAAACAAATTCACTTTCACAGTGAAGAAATTCCCAAGTTTTTCAGAAGGGGTGAAGAAATAAGTAGTGGTTGTTGCCGGAAAGAAAGCTCACATTGTAAGCTTTCCATCAGCTACAGACACCTGCCTTTTCACTGTCTGGCTTCAACTGCAATTAGAGTTCAAAGTCTTAAAAAAAAAAAAGGAAAATTCAGAATAGTTCAAAGATCTYGAGTGCTATTGTGATCAAAATTTAATGATCAGCCACTAGATATATAGATCACCACAGCTTTTTAGATGGTCAAGAAAAAATTGAAGGTATTAGTGAGATCACCTTATCAACTGTTAAAAAAAGGTGCGTATACCATAGATGCATTCTCCTGGGACTGACTTTTTTTAAAATGACGATAATAACCTTGTGAAAATATGAGAATAATAACCTCGACTCGAGCAAGATAGAGAATGGATAAGTCAGAATATAAGGATATTCGAAGGGCATATTACCGAGACCAGTAAAGAATGAGAGAATCTACTCTCTCCCACGGAGAATCTTTTCAAAGACTATTTATTTAGCTTTCCTTCTCTTCAACGTCCATCTTCTCAAATAAGAGCACTCAAACGCAATTGGAAACCGTCGTCATTGTCGTCTCTCTCTCCGGTAAGTGTCTTGCTCTCTCTGGTATTAGTTTCTCAGAAATATTATGGTGCTAATAGTTTCTCAAGCATGTCAACTTACTTTAATATATATGGTATGAAAATAAGATTTATATAGCGCTCAAATGATCAAATCTTTAGCGGTAGGCTTGTCTCTCTTTGAGTCTGACTAGAAATTTTGCAAGTTATATCCTGCTGAATCTGACTTGGCTCTACTGGTGATAATTAGATTACTAGAATCGTAGTCATGTACAATTCGAAAGCTTACATGCTTATATTAGGTGTTGGGGGGGGGTGGGGGTGCTGATGCCCAGTTAATTGCCTAGTACAGTTGAGCTATTCTAATCCATGTTGAAACTAATCCCAGGAAGCACCTTTGTATGCTTTCTTATCGCAATTTCATGGGCCATATTATTGTTCCAGGCGTCAATTGGATGAAAGAGGTTGGTAATTGAAGCGAGTTAGCAGCTTATCCCTTTGAAAATTCGTGGTCAGGTTAAATCTGTTTGGGAACTCTCGTCACCCAGAAACACAGCGATTTATTTAATAGATTATAGGATTTATAAAGCACTGAAATTCTCCATGAAATCAAGAAAAGAGGAACTTCTAAACGAGAAATAAATCGATCATTTTATTTCTAAGGTGTATGCGGTACAAAATTTTTAATGTTGCTATACAATTTTCAGCTACGAGGGTCTGTTTGCAGGCAAAGAAAATCCAATGGGGTTGGGCAGGAGGCCCGTTCATTCCCTGCTTATACCCTTCAGTGTAAGCATAAGAACGGAAAGGCCTAATAATACATCTTAGTTTTAATGCCAAAATCTCGTGTATTTCGTACTCCAATCATGCTACTGTAATCCTATCTGACCAGCGCCATAACGCAAGAATATGACTCTCGGGTCCCTTGATTGATTGGAAATTGGTTGAGACTGGTCTAGTGTATCTCTTTGCTATACATTGATCTGGCTACTTATTGAATACACCAGTGAGTCCCAGCCTGAAAAATCAAACAAACTAGATAATCAGAACATTTATGGGTCAAACTACCAGAAAAAAGAAAACTTTGTTCAATATCTCTTTATACCTTTTTTATGAAAGGGAAGCCCCAACTTGAACTGGCTTTGAATTACTGAAAGCTTTCCTTCCATATTCAAATACCGTCACAAAGAGACCAAACATATACAGAAGGCTAAATTGAAACCTGGATAGAATCTCATACACGACGTATAAATACTTTCTTCCTTCAGTATTCCTTCTGCTTAAAGATATTTGAGTCTCCATTTGTTGCCACTCTGAAAGAAAGATAACAATAAAATTAGCAAAGGGAGTTTTGGAAAATTCCTTTGATGATCATCAGTTTTCTGCTTTGGTACCAGTTCCTTTCTTGGGAAAGTTTGACCAATCATGCGGATTCAACTTCAATTCTGATGCCTTCATCAACTCTAGAAGAGCTTGATTGACCTGAAAGTTTTTAAAGTAGAGTTATGGGTTAAAATTGCCTTTACAATCATCCATATAATATGCTGAATGACTAAATATTATTATTATTTTTCACAAAGATCTCTAGTCCCTACCGAACCCACCATGTTTCTACCACATGGATGGATGTTGTGGCCAATCTAAGCCATCCACTAAGTAGGGGACTCTTTGGACTGGTCATCTATGCAATTCGGGTCCACATAAGCCTGTGGCCCACTTTTATTAGTGTCTTCCATAAGTAATATTGGTTATCAAAAGTTTCAATATTCTAATACTAAACTTCCTAAAAAAGGACTTGTTCTGACTACGTGGCAAGGGTTTGGTCTCAAATTTGTCATTAATGGGGGATAAAGAGAGGAAACCAACTTCTGCATGGATATTTCTTGGTTGTTCAGATTTCATTGCTAAGCATAGGGAGTAGGTTTGCTATCAAGGTCATTGGGGCTTCCCTAAACAACCAATCAATCTTTGACGTGGCAAAGCAGTTTGGGAGTCCAATTGGACCCCGCATTTTCCTTCCATTAGCCTCTATTCATGGGGTAGGTTTAAGTCCAAAAATCCTTATTTATGGGCAAATTTTAAATTAAAATTAAAACTTCAAATAGATGACATTAGTTAGGAAAAAAACCAAATACAAGGTGGAGATAGGGCTAATATGGACTGTGAGGTTGAATATGTAACCACTTCAGGTCTCTAATCATGTGGACATTTTGGATCAGCCACAATCTGTCCATGTGGCAGAAAGAGAGCTGGTTGTGTAGGGTATGGAAAAATTTTCACTAATGAGGTGAAGTAGGGAACTTCAGGTTTGGGCTAGGTCAGGGTAGACCCAGACCTGAGCCAGACCCTATTGGGTGTGTAAGTACTAGACCCAGAACCAATTCTATTATTAATCGAACTTACCAGGTCTGACTCGATAGGATCCAGTTTTATTTGACAAGTCTTTATTTGGTCATTTGACAATAAATCGACTAATTCTTTTGCTATCTAATGTATAATGTGTTTACATAATCGGATTGGGTTGACCCAGACCATTGACAGCCCCAATAAATATCAACCGTTTAAAGTTTTAATATATTATTATTAAACTTTCTGATAAAGGAATATTTGTTTTGAACAGGTAGCAAGGTGTTTTGGACTCAAAGTTGACCCATTATCAGAGTTGACCAGAAAAAACGTAACTAACCTAGCGTTGTGGAAGATTCATTGGTTGTTCAGACTTTATAGGCTAAACGACTGAAATAGAGAAACCACTCACTTTCTGTCTTTATGCATACATCAGAGAGAATAATGGTTGTGGGCCTTATGGCATTTCAAAAAGGGCAGCCCATCGCATGAGGCTCCTGCCAATGTGGTGTCTGGGGAGGGTCAGATGTACGCAGCCTTACCCCTGCACATACTGTTTCCAAGATTTGAACCCAGGTCACAATGGACCAACCCAACCGTTGCACCAAGGCCCACCCTTGATCCCCCCCGAGAGAGAGAGAGAGAGAGAGAGAGAGAGAGAGGTGTTTGTGGATGTCTATTCGAAACACATAAATACCTCTTCCGGTCTTTCATGGCTCACTAGATGTCCTCCATGGAGATCAATCATTCTTGCCATGGGCTGAAGCTTCTCTGCAAGTTTCCTTGCGTAGTATATTTGAGCAATGATGTCATGCCTATAAAAATGGAAAACATCCACTAGTTAGAAGGAATGTAACTCTCCAGAGTCATGTGGCATGAGAAGAGGGACTACTAAATTTCTGAAGTTAGAGTATAAACCTGCCATGAATGACCGAAATAACGAATCCAGCAGATCGGATCACTGTAAGTTCTTTTGATGTCATTTTATGGGTCCAACAGGCATTAACTTGACCCTCAAATCCATATTTAGATTGCATTCCAGTTGATGAGATACCTTTGACATACTCCTGCAAAATAGGGCGTTTTCTTTTAAGTCAGCAAATATGCTTATAGAAACCATGGAAAAGATAACTTCAGAAGTATCATTATGATGGAAAACTAAGATAGTCTGCTTCTAATTTATGCATGCACTGCTACTTTTCATATATATGCACAAAAGTACCAGTGGAAACATTATACAAGTGGTACATATTTAATACTAAACTGATCTTCACATGTATCGGTACAAATATTCAATGTGTAGCTGTTGAATTAGTAACTAAGGCTCAGTTTAGGAAGGGCACAAATACAAGTATGCTCAGTGCAAAACCTTGTACACGGAATTTCTAAACCTTGTATTTGCACTGTACATATTTGTATTTGAACTCTTCCCAAACCGAGCACAGAGCCTTGTATTTGCACTGTGCATATTTGTATTTGCACTCTTCCCAAACTGAGCCTAAAGTGCAGTTCTGTATATCTTCCTAGCAAATACTTTTGCCAAATTTATAAGCACCTTAAAATCTCATGAATGAAAAAACAAGGATTTCATATTAGATTCTAGTTGGGGTCAAATAACATAGCTTCTAAAACATGGATTAATGAAATCAAAATATACATTAATACTGAGTGGAGCTATCAAACTATCTAGGATTGTGCAACATGGTGATAATGTAACACTAGGATGTCGAGACTTTGTTATGCAATATAAATTGTTTGACTAATTTCCTGCTCAAGTAGTAGCAGCTTGATAAGGTTGTTGGCTCTCATTATCCATTTATACTTGAATTTTGACTTCAATACTTCAAAGCAGAGAGGCAAACATTAGCCCCTCAAATACTTTTAATGTGTTCTGAGTACACACGTTCATGATTTTGTTAGGAACATATGAAAAAAAACCAAATATCCAATGTTTAACCCACTATTATAAATGAATTCCACTATTTACCAATATCAAATGACCTTTAGAGTCATAGGAAATGAAAAGCCCTCAAGCCTCAGGCCCCAAGAAGTTCTCTGCAACAGGACCAAACAGAGACCAATCAAAGAGGTCCAGTGAAACATCCTCCCACCTAAAATCTAGCACAATGTCAATAGACACCAAACATACAAATCTTAATTGGGCACTATATGTCAACACAGATAAAAATCAAATGCACTTATGTGGACTCCTCTTAATATATCATGTGAGTGAACTTGGCACTCACTGTGGCAGCATGAACTTGTACAAAGTTCAGTCCCTATTGTTTTGAAGTTGGATGCCCAGAAAGCAGATATATATATATATATATATATATATATATATATATATATATATATAACCCAGAAAGCATATTAGTCACTCAAATTGGAAACAGACTTTTTAAACCCTTGCTTTGGAATTGAAAACTTCTCTTGATAGAACCCAAATAATCAAATAAACGCAAAATCTTGATCTTGGTCAGACAAAAAGAGAGTGGGTGAATGAGGGTTCTAATGTTGCCTCGTCTGTAGAGTCTATCAATTAACTTTTCTTCTCCCTCTTATTATTTAGTTCTTTGCCATTATTATGATTTCCAACAAGACAGAAGGAACATAAAATGCAGTGCACAAGAAAAGAAGCCCAAAAAGAAAATGAAAAAGCATGGCTGACATATAGTTTAGTTGCAACACAAATTGTGGGCCAAAAAGGAAACTCTCGGTTTGGTTGGTTATGATGCAAGAAATCAATTTTGAACTATTCCAATCCTTAACTTGATGTAAGATTGTTCTCCTTGTGTGAGGTCCAACGTATTCGTCAAGATATTCCTGCACAAAAATGTAATGCAAAAGCAGCTAATGAGGGCATGTGAATGTGCAAAAGCAAATTATTCGAAGTATCTCCAATAGCTATAACAAAAAACATGAAACATATTTCACAGGTTTGAACATACCAACAAATTATCTAAACACCATCAATATTCAATAGGCAATTGGTCTAAAACTGTACTGGAAAAGATAACAATTATTGGAAATTGGACCTCACCCAATCTCTTAGGAGCCAAAAGTAGAGGAAATAACCACTCTTCTTGAAGCTCTCAAGGGGGTTTATTTTTCTCCATCTACTAATAGCCGTCATGTTTGGACCCTTAACTCTTCTGGGAAGTTATCTACTAGCTTCTTTTTGATGTCATCATTACAGCTGATAATGCTGAAGCGTTGCCAGCATGTAAGATTTGAAACTATTTGATCCTTCTTTTTCCATCTGGGAGGCAAGTCTTGGCAAAAAAAGTGAATCTACATGTTTGCATCATGCATCTTCAAGAAAGTTATGGAATTTATTTTTCCTTTATTGTGAAGCTACCATGGTTATGGCATTTCTTCCTTTATTTAGATGGTGCAGGGTGAGTGACCCTAGGGAATGTTATCTATCTACTTTGGCGATGGAATTGTAGTAGGTTGGGACAAAGGGGGGAAATAGATGTCAGAAAATTATTTTTCATGCAATCTTGCGGAAAGTGTGGGAAGAAAGGAACAGTAGGATTTAGGGGTAAAACTTGGGCGGGCTCAGGTTCTGGTGCTGACGCCTGGGCTGATGCAGTGCAAAATCTTCAAACAGGATACCAGACTTGCACCTCTAATAGGACTTTCAATGATAAAGCAGTCACACATTATGTTTCTCTAATATTCCCCAAATTTCATATGGGACAAGCACTTGGAGGGTGATCACAAAGCTGAAAGATGACTACGCCAAACACATTCATTTCAGACCAGGAAACGTCCAATATCCTTTTTGGAGGGAAACTTGGTACGGTCAGAGCCTTTTGTGTTAATCACACCCGACTATGTTCAGTATCACACTCCACGAGAAGGACAAGGTCAGTGACTGCTTTCAAATGCTAGGAGGTCAAGTAGTGTGGATCCCAAGGCTGAGAAGAAACATCCATGATTTGGAGATGCAAGAGCTGGTGTCATTGGTGGAAGCTACTAATAAAGTCCAGCCCAATAGTGAGCTGGATGATCAGATCTGCTGGAGGGTGGGCTGGAAGCATGGTTTAAAGTATACACCCAATATGCATGAACAGGCATATTGGGTGATTCAATACTTTATAACTTTTTTTAGTTAAAAAAAAAATGTTTCAGGGGGTCGTTTTAGGCTTGCCTACCCCCTGAAAAGGCCCAAATTCCGAAACACTCCTTATTTGGGGTTTCAGAAAGCCACCGATATGATACCATACGTCCGATATGAGGCATATCATATTGAAATTCTGAACCTTGGCCAGAAGAAGAGCTTCACAGTAAAATATTTCTTCATTAAGCTTTGGCAGCTTGAAGAGGAAAGGTGGTGTGGAGATGGATGTGGAAATCTAAGGTGCCTACAAGGGTGATTTTCTTCTTGTGGACTGCAATGCTGGATAGAATCCTTACCCTTGACAAACAAGTTGGCAAACAAGTTCAGCCTGTGTATGAGCCATTTAGAGTATGCTTTCCACTTGTTAATTCACTGCCAGGTCAGGTGGCCCACCTGTTGGTCCCACTGTCTAAAGCTGTTTGGGTGGGTGATCCCAAAAGACTTGCAGGCTCTGTTGGCAGCACGGATAATGATGAGTTTTAGAAGAAAAGGGGCTATCCTGCAGGGAATAGTTCCACTTGCACTCAGCTGGTGCTTGTGGCAAGAGAGAAACAACAGAATCTTTAGAGATTTAATTCTGGCCATTGAGCAGCTGAAAGGAAAGATCAAATATTAAATGACTTTCTGGTCAAGAGTGTAAGGATTTTTTTTTTTCTAATTTTGCTCATTTATGTAATCAGTGGATTAGTAATATCTTTGATTAAGATGATAGATCCGGATAACTTTTTTATACAGTAATGAGGGGCTGGCTGTCTTCAGCAGTTAGCTTCTTTTGTATAGCTCTGGAAAGGCTTCCTCTTCCTCCTTATTTTTAATACAATTACTCAACTTTCAAAACAAAAGTGAAGAAATAGTTGGTTAGCCACGAGTGTGGGGTTCTATACCCACACTCAGGCTCTAGTGTGTGTGGTTTCATACCCACACCTAGTTGTTTCTAATTTCTTTTTAGTAGTTTCTAATTTCTGTTATTAGAAGTTTCAAATTTCTATTAAGTTGGGCCTGCTGGCCTTATTGTTTCTAATTTTTGTTTATTTCCTATTCTTGTAAGGATCTTAAAAGCTATAAATAAAGGAGTGTATGGGGCAGCAGATCATTCACCACTGAACCCCTTCTTTCTTTCTCCTCTCTTCACTCTCTCTCTCTCTCTCTCTCTCTCTCTTTTCTTCTCTTCAAACCTATAATACAGTAAACAGTTCTTCTTCTTCTTCTTCTTCTTTCAAGTTGGTATCAGAGCCTTAGATCTAGGGTTTCTCATGTGGATTTAATTCAGCCGACCACATGAGAATTGTTTAAAGCTGAAAGTTCAGAAAGATCCTTATTTCAGCTGATTCTTGGAGGTTGCAAGAAGGCTTTAGCAGCTGTCCTAAGATTGGAGAGAGCTTCTTGTAATCAGGAAGAATCAGGGAGGAATTGAGTGATCAAGATCGATTCTTGATCAAGATTGGAGGTGCCGATCAGTTTTTTCTTGGTTCTTTGATCAAGATTCAAGGTGCTGACAGTAATCGATTGATCGAGTTTGAAGACTGAAGGTAGCAATCAGTTTTCTGGGCTTTTTTTCTTCATAAAGTACCTTTTCTTGAGATTGATACCCAAAAGGACTTTGTTATTCATTCAGAGAGGTACGGATAGAAAATCTCAGGATTGATATCAATCCCAGGACAGTAGTTGACTGTTATCTAACTTCCCAGGACAGTAGTTGACTGTTATCTAACTGCAAAATCATTGTCCTAGGTCAGCTGTTATCAGCCTTGAAATACAGTTTTTTCTTGTCACAGTAGTTTAAAGCCTATTCTTAACTTAGAATGGAGTACAAGAACCAAGGGGAAGGTGCTTTTGGGACTGGTGGTTCAGGTAACATGACTGAAAACACCTTTCAGATTACAACTGTTAAGTTTGATGGATCAAACTACTTGGAATGGGCCCAATTAGCCATGATGGCTATTGGGGGTAGAGGAAAATTAAACTTCTTGCTAGGGGATGTGAAGGAACCCTCCAAGGAGGACCCTACTTATGCTAGGTGGGTCCAAGAGAACTTTTTGGTAATGACATGGCTGTGCAACTCCAGGCAGCCACACATCAGCTGAAACTACTTGTGGGCCAAAACAGCTAAGGAAATATGGGATGTTATGAGGGAAACCTACTCTTAGCCTCTTAATGTTGCTAGGGCTTATGAGCTAAAATGTGAGGTTAAAAATCTAAGGCAAGGAGAGAAGCAGGTCTCTGTTTACTTTTCAACCTTAAAATCCCTGTCGCACAAAATTGACCATCTTGAAACAATTGAGTGGGAGAGTCAGAAAGGTGCACAAACATATAGAAAGCAGGTTGAAACTAATAGAGTTTTTGAGTTCCTAGCTGGTCTGAACTCTGAATATGACATTATGAGACAACAGTTGTTGACAAGAGATAGTGTGACTTTATCACGAGCCTATTCCCTAGTGCATAGTGAAGAAACTAGGAGAAAGGTTATGTTGCAGCAACAACCCTCCGAATCAACCTTGGTAGTAGTTAGACCTAAATCTGGGGGGGATAAAGAGAAGAAGGAAGCTAAGAAGGATTTAGTATGTGAACATTGCAAGAAACCTAAACATACTAAGGACACCTGTTGGAAGTTGCACCCTCGTCTAGTTCCAGCAAAAGCTCAGAAATAAGAAAGGGAATGCTAATATGGCTATCAACACTGATAGTACAACTTCATTAGGCACAAGAGGCACTCCTCTAGATACTCTAGCTGCAATCCGAGCTGCTCTAACACAACTAGAAAATGAATTTAGTAATTCAGCTCAACCTACATCAGCTCAATAGCCTACTTCAACCCTTGCTCATACAGGTATAAGAGCTACTGCTTGTCATGCTTCTGTCCCAAGTAAATACTAGACCTTCCTGGGTAATAGATTCAGGTGCTTCAGATCATATGACCAGCATATCTACTTTATTTAGCACCTATTGTTTATCCTCTAGGAGAGACAAAGTTTCTATTGCTGATGGCTCTCTTGTACCAATTTCTGGCAAGGGAGACATCAGGTTATCAGATACCATCACCCTATCCTCAGCTTTGCATGTTCCCAAGCTTAGTGCTAACTTACTTTCAGTTAATAGTATTACTAAAAATCAAAACTGTTCGGTAACTTTTTTCCCTAATCGGTGTATTTTTCAAGATCTGAAAACAAAGAAGGTGATTGGGATTGGCCGTGAGATGAATGGAGTCTACCTACTGGAACATTCATAGGGGGAGCAGAGTGAAGCAGGGAAATTGTGTTTCTTAGTCTTATAGTAAGATTATGCTTGGCACAACCACTTAGGTCATTTATCTTTTGGGTCTTTAAAGAGTCTTTTTCCAAACTTGTTTGATTCAGTAGAAGTGTCAGAGTTAAAATGTGAAAGTTGTGAACTTGCAAAACATAGTAGATCATCTTATCCTTTAAGTAATAAAAGAAGCAACCTTCCTTTTAAGATTGTGCATACCGATGTTTGGGGGCCCTACCATACTCCCACCATTGGGGGGGGGGGTACATATATTTCTTATTATTTGTTGATGACTATACCCATTTTTCATGGGTCTATCTTATGCACTCTCGAGATGAGGTCCCCTTCTGACCCAAGCTTTCCATAAGATGATCCTAACTCAATTTGAAGCCAAGATCAAGATTCTTAGATCTGATAATGCCAAGGAATACTTTGCAAAACCCTTGGCATCATGTCCTCAGACACCTCAGCAAAACGGGGTTGCTGAGAGAAAAAACATACATATTTTAGAGGTAGCTAGAAGCATCATGCTCAACTCCAATGTTCCCATACGCTTCTGGGGAGATGCAATCCGTACAGCCATATACCTCATTAATAGGGTTCCTTCACGGGTCCTAAACATGCAAACCCCATTCAGTCTTCTATATCCAGATAAGGATCTATTCACTATTCCCCTCAAAACTTTTGGGTGTACTTGTTTTGTTCAAATCCTTGGACCTCATCGCTCCAAGTTTGATCCCAAAGCCACTAAGTATATTTTCCTTGGGTATGCACAAAATCAAAAGGGATATTGCTGTTATGAGCCAATTTCAGGGAAGCGCTTTGTGTCCATGGATGTCACATTCTTTGAGGATATGCCCTACTATCATAAGGATTCTCCTCAGGGGGAGAATAGTGAGGAAGGGATTTCAATTTCAGCTCCAAGAGTTCCTTTACCTGTCTCGATTACTAAGGGGGGAAGTTGCGAAGAAGGTTGTCAAAAATGCAAGGAGTTGAAAGTGTATCACAGAAAGTGGTGGAGGTAGGTTGATTCTTGTACTCAACAACAATCCAGGCCAGTTCCAACATCTTCTACAGCTTCAGATCCAAACACTACTACTACTCCCACTATTACAGAGGTTCAGCCTTCACCAATAGATGACCTTGATCTTCCAATTGCTATTCGTAAAGGGAAGTGCCGTTGCACCTCATCCACTACCCATTGCATCTCCAAGTTCCTTTTCTATAATTGTCTCTCAGAATCCTATAGATCTTACTTGGCATCTATTTCTGCTATTCCTATACCCAGAAAAGTGCAAGAAGCTTTATTGATACCTGAATGGAAGGAAGCAATGCAAGTAGAGATGGATGCTTTTGTCAAGAACAACACATGGGAACTAGTTAACCAGCCTGAAGGGAAGAAACTTGTTGGATGCAGATGGGTGTTTACTGTGAAATATAATGCTGATGGTACTGTAGAGAGGTATAAGGCCAGATTGGTTGCAAAGGGATTCACAGAAACTTATGGCATAGACTATACAGAAACCTTTGCACCTGTTGCAAAAATGAACACTATCAGAGTTCTTCTATCCATTGCTGCAAACTTCTCATGGCCAATATTTCAGCTGGATGTTAAGAATGCCTTCCTCAACGGAGACTTGCAAGAGGAAGTATACATGGAGTTACCCCTTGGTTTTTATAGTACAGAAGCAGGAAATAAAGTTTGCCTTTTGAAGAAGGCCTTGTATGGGCTGAAACAATCCCCGAGAGCTTGGTTTGATAGGTTTAAACTAGCTTTGGACAAATTCGGATACATACAGGCTCAGTCAGATCACACTCTCTCCTTTAAGAAGACAGGTCATTCCCCGACTCTACTTGCAGTCTATGTAGATGACATTGTGATAACAGGCAGTGACACTAGTGAAATTGAAACCCTTAAACAACACCTTCACAAGGAATTTGAAGTGAAAGACCTAGGAAAGTTACACTATTTCCTAGGAATTGAGGTAGCTCGATCTAAGCATGGCATTTTCATCTCCCAAAGGAAGTATGTTCTGGACTTATTGGAAGAAACTGGCAAGTTAGGAGTGAAACCTACTGATACTACCATTGAGCCTAACCATAAGATAAGTGCAGAAAGTGGAGAACTCCTTGAGGACAGGGCTATGTACCAAAGGCTAGTTGGGAAACTTCTTTATCTCTGTCTAGCCCGAACAAATATTTCTTATGTCGTCAGTGTTGTTAGTCAATACATGCATTTTCCTAGGACCACCCATCTCCTTACAGTAGAAAGGATCCTTGCCTACTTAAAGAGATGTCCAGGGAGAGGTATACTCTTCAAGAATAATGGTCATATGAAAATAGAAGTGTATATAGATGCGGATTGGGCTGGATGTGTTGATGATAGGAGGTCCACCT